CGACGACGACGACGACGACGACGATGACGATCGTCTGAAAAAATTCAAGGGGAAAAACAACGTCGTACGCGAAAAGCATGTTTGCCTTCGTTTTTATTTCTTTTTATTACTTTTTCTTCTCTTTCCTTACTTCTTCCTCTTAAAATTTTTTTCTCTTCCCCCCTTTTTTTTTTTTTTTTTTTTCATATTTTTCCCTTATTCTTATTTTTTTTCTCTCTCTCTCTCTTTTTGTCCGTCTCTCTCATTTCTTTCGTACCTTTCCACCCACCACTTCGTTCAATCTTCATGTCACGCATACCAATTCTTGTCAGCGTCTTTACACACGGGATATCTGTATAGGTATATGTATGTATGTATTTATGTATATTATTCACAGTCTTTTAACCCATCCACGGAGCGCAGTGATGACGCGACGCCTTCCTCGGCTCGTTTTACCTTAGTTTGCTTTTTCTTTTCTTTGCTTTTCTTTTCTTTTTTTTTTTTTTTTTTTTTTTTTCTTTTTACATCAACGATCATTTTCACAATTCTAAGCTTTCGCAAGACGTTCTTTCTCTCTCTCTCTCTCTCTCTCTCTCTCTCTCTTTCTTACAATGACGATAAATTGTGATACAGTGTGATATACGGTGCTTTATTTATTTATTTTTTTTTTTTAATTAATTTTCTTTTTTCTCATATGTATATTTTGCGTATAATCGATAATAGTATTTACGTTGAACATTATAATCTCGATTGTTTTTTTTTTTTTTTTCCTTAAATCTTTTTTCGAGGGGTTTCGTGGGGAGGAAGGGGGGGGGAGGAGGGGAAAGGAAAGGAATTTTTTTTCTTCTCACATCTTTATTTACCATGCTACCGGAGGATCCTTAGGTTTTTAAAACGCAATTCCGTTTTATACGCGCCGATATGGCTTTTCCTTTCCTTGTTTTCTTTTTTTGTTTTTTTTGTTTTTTTTTTTTTTTTTAACGTTCGTTCGTTTACATTCTAAACCTTTTAATTGCACGTACACAGTCCTGAACGTCGTGTCGTAAATTGAAAGAAATGCATAATTGTGCATCGGGACAAATAAAAATTGTATGCACTGCTTTTTATGTGAGATATCTATCGAAGAAACTTTGTCTGTATTTTAGTGTTTTATTTTTGATGTCATTTGAAAAATGTAAAATCTTAACTTTGGACACAATTTTTTATTTTTACCGGATAGTTAGATAAGAATGGAGAATATGAATTTAACAAAAAAAAAAACAATAAGAACAAAATAGTTAAAGAAAAATAAAAAATACGATATAAAATTTCTTTCAATTTACGACTTTTTCCTTTTATAAGTTCTTTATACGTTTCTCGAAATATACATATACATTGGTATCGTACAAAATGAATCATAGTAGAACGGCAATGCGATATATCGTCACCATCGTATTGTCGATTGGTAACTAAACGATTAAAATTGATCGTCCTTTTTTTTTATTAAATACATATTTACATTCGAGTAAACGCGATTAAAAGAGAGCCGAGGGTTATTGGCCCTTTTATATTTTGTATACGTTTGTATAGGTATGCGTATAGCGTACACGTGATCACATTTAATGTATTTATATCGTAGAACTGGGATGGATCATCGCATCGATTTTTGACAATTATTTAAATTATGTCATCTCTGTTCATTCATTTGATTTTTTTATTATGATGCAATATCTCGATCGACTCTTGTTTTGAATTTATTTATTTAACTATGTTTTAGTCCTTGATATTTATTTATATTTCAATCGTTTAACTAACCCTTTATAGTTCAAAATTTGGTTATCAAAAAATAAATAATAGTATACGATATATAATATTGCTATCTAATAAAATTATACGCTATATTAAATGTAACAAAAGAAATAAATTTCGCATATGAGATAACGATTGTGTATTTACGGCGAATAATCATATAAAACTTAATAAAATATAAGAACATATGTAATTAGTAATATAAGGACTAAAGTAAAAAAAGTTAAATGTATCAACGTAATATAAAGATTTTATCACGTATATGTCGAAGGGGACAAAATCGTGTGCGTGTGTGTTTGGTTTTTTTTTTTTTTTTTATTTAAAATAAATTCGAGTAGGTAAAATTAATTTTTACAGAGATTGTAGTAAGCCTTTCGATTTTCTTTTTTGCAACAATAACAGCTACTAATGAATCATTCGTTTCTACCTGTCTGCAGATCTCCAATATTTCGTTTTATCACGAGCACGATGCAATGAATTTATAAATTGTAACGTTAAATCCCAGCGTTTCTCTTGCAAAGTCCGTGCACGCGTATTCAACGAATATTATAGGTGGTTCTAATTGGTGCCGATAAAGGGACCGTTAGCAAGTGAGTACATATACGCTTTTTGATTTGCCTATTCAGCCCTCGAATTAAAACTTTAAAGTATATGCCAAAATCATGGCAGTTCGGTTTTTGCACGAGCTCGTTCAAATTTTCTACGTGTCGATTTTCTTTTTGCCTCTTTCTTTTTTTTTTTTTTTTTTTTTTTTTTGTCTCTTCTGTCTTTTTCT